CCACGTGGCGACCCACATGGGAGGCTGCGGCCACGTCAGCTGACAGCTGAGCTTTGTCTCCTGACCTGTATCCCGATGTCTACGTCGGGATAAAATCGGCCACGTGGACGAATCAGAGGCGGAGGCAGATGGGAAACCAATCACAGTTGGAAGCCTTTTGCAGCCTGCCACGTGGGTTGCCACGTGGACCCAATCAGAAGAGGTCGTAATCCGTTGGGAACGGCGAGGTCCTGACGATGGCTTTTTTTAATTTTTTTTTTGAATACTTTATATATATGGGAACAGGTTCCCGTGTTTTTATCGGAGGTCAATCTTGTGTTGAATGGAACGCCCTTTTTTTTTTCTCTTTTTTCTTTTTATAGATTCTGGCATTGTAGCTCAACGAGGCCCACGGGTTGAAGGGGATACTTTCTCAAGAGGACGTTTTGTAGTGAATCTGGCATGTAAATGCGGTCATATACATCCAGTCCTACAGTGGCCGAGTTCATCGTACGTTGCAAAAGAAGGGGGGTGTTTTTTTCTGCCTCGGCTCGATCTTCCTGTGTATTCACTCTCCCCTTTTGTCCCTCCTGTCCTCCCTCCTTTTTCCCTCTCCTTTTCTCCCGTCTTCTTTCTCACCCTTGCTCTCCTTCCTCTCTCTCACTTTTCCGTTTTCTCTTTCCCTTTCCCTGTCTCCTTCTTCTTTCGTTTTTTCGTCTCCTTTTCATTTCCCTTTTCTCTCCCTTTCTCTCCCTTTCTCTCCCTTTCTCTCTCCCTTTCTCTCTCCCTTTCTCTCTCCCTTTCTCTCTCTCTTTCTCTCTCCCTTTCTCTCCCGTGCGCCCTTTTTCTCCCTTTTTCTCCCTTTTTCTCCCTTTTTCTCCCTTTTTCTCCTGTAGATTTCTTCTATTACATATGTATATTCTTTCCCTTTCTTTCCCTTTCTTTCTCTTTCTCTCCTCGATCTCTCTGAGTTTCTCTCTCCCCCTCTCCCTCTCTCTCCCTTTCTCTCTCTCCCTTTTTTCTCTCCCTTTCTCTCCTTTTCTCTCTCTCACTTTCTCTCCCTTTTTCCTTTTGTCTTCTCCTTGCTCCCTCTCTCTATGTTTCTCATTCTTTCTCTCCATTTCTCTCTTTCCATCCCTCTCCCTTAATCTCTCCTTTTCTCTTCGCGCTCTCCCTTTCTCTCTCCCTTTTTCTCTCTTCTTCTCTCGCGCCCTTTCTCTCCTCTTCTCTCTTCGCTCCCTTTCTCTGCCCCCTTCTCCTCTTTTCTCCCTTTCCCTCCGTCTCCCCCGTCTGCCCCGTGTCTCTCCGTGCCTCTCCGTGTCTCTGTCCCTCTCTCTCTGTCTCATCCCCGCTGCCTACCTTTTCTTTCTCCCTTCTTCTCTCTCCCTTTCTTCCTCTCTCCCCTTCTTCTCTCCCTTTCTTCTTTCTCCCCTTCTTCTCTCCCTTTCTTCTCTCTTTCTTCTCTCCCTTTCTTCTCTCCCTTTCTTCTCTTTTTCTTCTCTCCCTTTCTTCTCTTTTTCTTCTCTCCCTTTCTTCTCTCCCTTTCTTCTCTCCCTTTCTTCTCTCCCTTTCTTCTTCTCTCCCTTTCTTCTCTCTCCCTTTCTTCTCTCCCTTGGACTTTCTTGGTCCTCGGCAATTTCGAGGGGAGGAAATTTCGGAGAAGGGACTTCGAGAAAATTGTTAGTGCGCCGCGTCAGAAATTTCGGGGAAGAAATTTCTGGGAAAAGATTATTCGTGGCAGGTGTGAATTTTGTGGGACGAGGAGGATTTTTTTTTTTTGTTGTTGTTTTTTTTGGAGGAAGAGGAGGTATTTTTTGCCTCGTGCTTGCTTTAGAATATTATAGTAGTCTATTAATTAATTAATTAATCTGTTTGAAACAAATAAAAAAGAGCATTGCGCAATTCGTCATTTACACAAAATTGATACATGGAAGTCGTGAAGAGGCATTAAAAAAAAAAAAAAAAAACTTAGTCCCATCACTAAGAGGGTGGGGGGAAAAAACTAAATCTAAAAAAATTGGGGCAGGGAATGTCGCTAACCCCGCTGGAATATATCGCTCAGAACAAATCGCTGGTGTGTAGGCTTGAGCTACACCTTTTTTTTATATTTATTTACACCTTTTTTTTTTTAACGATGAAGTATTTCCCCCCCTTTCTTAATGTTTACGACTCATTTTTATTTCATTTTTTAATTTTTAATGCCTCTTTATGACTTCCATGTGGGTGTGGGCTTAATCCGCTCGCGTGTGGGCTTGATTCGCTTCCTTGGATCTTTGAACACAGCTCCCTAAAACTAAGGGAATGATGAAATCGTTTTCTGATTTTATTATTATTATTATTACTATATTATTACTATTGTTATATATTATTATTATTATTATTATTATGTTATTATTATGTTATTATTATTATTATTATTTGAAGAAGCCGTGCATCCTTGGATCTTTGAACACAGCTCCCTAAAACTAAGGTTGATGAAATCGTTTTCTGATTTTTTTTAAAATTATTATTATTATATTATTATTGTTATATATTATTATTATTATTATTATTAGGGTTGCCGGCGTTCGGGACGGGTCGAACGCCCGAACCCGAACGCCCGAACGTACGGGACCCCTTCGGAAGACGTTCGGCCGTTCGGGCCGAACGCGGACCTTAAAAAAAAAAAAAAAAAAAAAAAAAAAAAAAAAAA